CGCTCTTTCTATATCCTGTGTTCAGGTGTTTTCTAACTGTACAAATTGAGATGTTTTGCTGGTATTTAAACCAGGTCAAACTGAAGTAGCAAAACATGCTAGAAACCATCTTGGATATTATCTTTTTCCAAGAGAAGCAAAGCACTGAGACATATCAAACAAAATATGAGGAATTCAACTAAGAGCAGTATACCTTTTTTTTTAATCAACATCTACCCAGGTAGTTATATGCAAGCCGTAAAATCTAAGGTGTATATACAACTAAAATATCAATCATAATCATCCATTTGCTACATTTACAACTACAGCTTCTACTGTGTGGATACGCAGCTAAGCATACATAAACGTAAATGCAGAAGAGAAATGATTCCGTGTAAAAACGCTCCAGAAAGGTTTGATGCGGAGCAAACTTAAGAAAGTACAAAAAATACCACAGAAGAGAAATTCAGAGGGTTAAAGAAGCCAGAGAAATGAGCAGTCACCTATCCAGAATCAGATAAAGCCAAATGAGCAACTGCCAGCCATACAAAATGTCTGTTTCGATTTGGAAATTGCGCTTCACCTGGCTTGAATAAAATCTGCATTCTGCTTCCGAGCACTATCCTGTTGCCCTGAATTTATTCCTAGTGGATTAAGAGCTCTCACTGGGTTTTAAACTAGAGCATTCCTCCATTTTATTCTCAGCTTCACTATCTGTTCTTTTTAATTTCCCAACTAGAAAGTTAATAATAAGAGTAATCCAAATAAGAATGTATAAATATAAAATAGATACACTGGCAATGTTTTATACAAAAACTGGACCACCACAGGTATCTAGCAGCTGCAATTCTAAGTCCCTGTGCTCTAGGGCAAATGGTCATATTCTGGTGTCCACACAGTGAAACGCAAGCATATGAATGGAAGTTGCTACATATAAGTAGGGATTCAAGAGGCTTTGAGGAGCTTAAAAGACTCAGCCTTTCATAAGGCTTAAGAGATGTTTCAGCAAAATTAGTATCACAGACCACAGGCTGGCACTTTACGATTTAAAGCCAACAGTTACATTGGGGTTTCTGGAGACCAACAGAAGTCTTTCCTCCATGAACTCACAGAACATACACAACTGTATTCCTATCCAAAGAAAGCTATACTTACAATTTCTAATAAAAAGGTTGGTTTTTGTTATTAGATGTATAAACCAGAGCTCAGTTTTAACTGGAGCACATAAGGTCACTCTAGGGGCACTTGTGCTTCCTTACTTCCCTATTTCTGAAATGCAAACAAACTAGTCTTATTCATTTCTCAAAGGTATACATAGATTCATAAGCCTAAAGAGTGAAAGTTTAAGCATCTCCATCTACTGTTTTCTCTCCTCAGATATTCCAAAATCGAGTAAATTATGGAGGAAGGAATGAGAGCTTAGTACACATTTTCTTCTCTCTCATTTTCCTTTATTTTTTTCTAAAAAAAAAAATCTCTCTGACCAAGTGTTATGGTTTAAGGGTTACCAGCCTGAAAGGGAAGGACTGGTGGTGTCTGTAGGACACTGGAGGGTCAGAGATCAGTACTGTTCCCTCCCCTTTCTGGCCACAGTCTATAAAAAAACCACGAGGTTTTCACGGGCTTTTCCTGGCTTCCTGGGCTGCCTCCTGTCGCATCTCGGGATGGCTGGGCCTACTTCCACGTACTTGGCAGCATCCACCACCATCTGCTCCCCGGCACCACTGCGGTCCCTGGTGACGAGTCCGCACGCGGGTCCTTGGTGACGAGCCACAGCAGGCGCAGCAGCCACGAGGCACTGCTCGGACACTTCCACTCAGGACTACTGGGATCGGGTTTTGTATATACTTAAATATCCTTTGTCCCTTATTAGTTCCTTTTTTTCCTTTCCCCTGTTGTTTTTTTCATTAAACTTGTTGCAGTCTTAACTTCCAACCTTGTGCAAAGCATTTTTCTTTTAATTCTCTCTCTATTCCCTTTTCTTAATCTTCCCCCTGGGAGGGTAGGGAGACAATAGAGACAAAATCCTGCTCTCTCGCTCACCCTTAAACAGAGACAGGATAATTGGCGCCCAACATGAGGCACGATTGAAAAATAATTTTTATTATTATTTTCCCCAACGAGACAAGTTGGAAGTTAATACTACAGTGTCTCTCATAACTGTGCTTCTGCGAGTCCTGCTACAGGATGCTTTTGTGACCTCTCTTAATTTTGTTTTGGTGTCTGTCATGCTGACTTGCCCTGTTTCCATGTTATACTGCCATATATTTTGGACCGTGATGGATGCGGGCTTGATTTGGGTTAAGGCTTTGCCTGAGTACCTTGGCCGCTACATCATGAATATGCTTATGAAGAACGATTCTGTTCCTTTGACCGGCAAGCCTGAGACACAGGGGATGGGAGGAATGATGAACGGCTACTACGATTATGTGTTGTGTTTCTTCATTGTAATACAAATGCCGCTAACTGTAAGGCTGTGGCGTGCTCAGGTAACTTTGCGTGAGAATAATATCGTTATAAAAGCCGCCCTGGTGGCCCTGGCCCCAGCCCTGGCTCCCGTCCCGGCTCCCATCCCAGCCCCAGCCCCGGCCCCGACCCCGGCACCGATCCCGGCTCCAGTCCCATCCCCAGCCTTGGTTCTGGTCAGAGCTCTGGCCTGGCTCGGGCTCCGGCCCCGGCA